CTGCGGAGGATACTGGGGAGGCCGGGTGAGACACGCCGGACGGAGAAGGCCCCGGAGAAGGGGCAGCGGCCGGAGGTTGGGCATCGAAGTCTGCCTAAACAAGCGTTGGGGGAGGTGGAGGAGGCTCGCCCGTGGTCGCAGAGTGGAATGGGCGTGTCTCATCGAAGACGACATCACGGCTGCGAATCAGCTGTCTGGTGATTGGGTTGACGAATAAGTAGTCTGGGGAGTCGGAGTTGTGCCCCAGGTACATGCAGGTCTGGGTTTTGGGACCAAGCTTGCTCGGGGAAGACTATCCCCAACTGTTTGAGTTCACCATGAATGGACTGCACCTTGGTGACATAGTCCGCCATGCCTGGCGAGTCCTCGAGCCGCACTTGGAACATGCTGGGGATGAGTATAGCAACTCCCACTGCAGTCTTGTTCAGGAAGCGATCCTCGAGGTAGAGCCATGGCGTTGGCAGACGGGTAGTTGTGGTAGGTTTCAACGAGTTCGGGAGGAGTGGTGCCCATGAAGACACTAATGACCGCACCATCATGGGCGGATCAAGACAAATAGAGTTGAAATGATTGATTAGGTAAGGAGCCCAAGGCTCTATAAGTACATGGCAAGGTGAGAGAGAATGGATGAAGGGGGAATTGGAGGGAATCCCCATTGAGATCTCCGGAATCTCCAATTGGGTAATTGGAGATTGTGGGGATCACAATTGGGTGAGGTTGGGATTTGTGAGTACACCCCAACCCACTAGAACATTCATAACCTAAACTAGGATATAAAAGTACAAATACAAAAGTGGTATTTGCAGTCTATTTCTAACAATGGGGAATGGATTAGGCACGGGGAATGAATGGGATACGGGGGATTGATGAGACCCAGGGAAGGGATGAGACACAGGGAATGGATGAGACGAAACACAGGGAAAGGATGAGATACGGGGAACGGATGAGACCAAGGGAATTGATGAGACACGTGGAACGAATGAGACAGAGGGAACGGATGAGACAGGGGGAACAGATGTGACACAGGGAACATGGGGAATGGATGAGACACTTGGAACGGATGAGACCAAAGAAAGGATGAGCCTTGGGGAACGGATGAGACACGGGGAATGGATGAGACAAAGGGAATGGATGAGACACGGGGAACAGATAAGACACAGGGAACGGATGAGACCCGGGAAACCGATGAGACCCGAGGAACCGATAGACCCGGGGAACGGATGAGACACGGGGAACAGATGAGACACGTGTTAGGATTAAGGACGGAGTCTAGGTGAACTTAGGAGCTAGAATTACTCAAAATATAAATCCGAAATTCTGGACAGAAAAGTCGTCTTCACAAGAAACGACGTCGACAAAAATCTAGCCGTTGGAATGTCGCGAAACTTGGATATGTTGTAGCTCATAATCTCAGCTACCGTTCACAATTTGAATCATGTTGATTGATGAAGTATTCGCGACGCTATGGCTTTCGACGCACTAGGGGGTAAGCTGTAGGAGGAGAACTTAACTCAATCTCAAGAGTTCAATCAAAGTTCAAGAATCTCACAATGAATTAGAGGAGCAAGAGAAAAGGTTGGGATAGAAAGAGAGGGACGAGAGGGAAGGTCCCAAGAGAGTCCCCAACCAAGGAAACCCCATTAGCACAAAGATTCCCTCCCTATAGGAACCCCAATTTTGACATTTGTCCCTTCCAACCAATCCATCCAAGTTGGCCACCCTTGCCAACCTAGCTTGGTTGTTCCCAACCAATTTGCAGCTGTTACAGTAGAGTGACAAATTTCCCCAACCCCCAAAGGTCCCAACTCCATATAGAGTCACCCCACAACTTCACTTTGTAACCGCCGCAATTGTAACGCAAGCTCATGAACTTTGAATCTTCATAGCTTTCGCGTTCTTGCTCCGATTGAAGCGATTCTCGTTGCGTCGGAAAGATCTTCTCAAGATCTATCACAAAATACCTGCTCAAACAAAAATAACACAGAACACATTCCCAAACTCCAGAACACACCACACACAAATTCTTTCACATTCAAACCACACATGCAAGTTGAAAACATGGGATGGGAGGCAGACAGAATGTGATAGCATATGATGACATCACACAACAACACGGAGAACAGATGAGATACGGGGAACGGATGTGACACGGGGAACGCACGAGATATGGGGAAGCGATGAGATACTGTGAACAGATGAGATACGGGGAACGTATGAGATACAGGGACTGGATGAGACCCGACGAACAGATGAGACCTGGGGAACGGATGCCAGATGGAGAATGGATGAGACACAGGGAACGGATGAGACACGGGGAACGGATGAGACACAGGGAACAGATGTGACACTTGGACGGATGAGATACGGGGAATGGATGAGACACGTAGAACGGATGAGACACGGGGAATGGATAAGACACTTGGAACGGATGAGAAATGGTGAATGGGTGAGACACGAGGAATGGATGAGGCACAGGGAATGGATGAGACAAAGGGAATGGATGAGACACGGGGAACAGATGAGAGACAGGGAATGGATGAGAACCGAGAAACCGATGAGACCCGAGGAACCGATAGACCCGGGGAACGGATGAGACATGGGGAACGGATGAGACATGGGGAACATATGAGACACGGGGAATGGATGTGACCCGGGGAAAGGATGAGACCTAGGGCAGGGATGAGGCACGGGAAATGGATGAGACATGGGGAATGGATAAGACACGAGGAATGGATGAGACATGGGGAACGGACGAGACACGGGGCATAGATAACACACGGGGAGCGGATGAGTCCCGGGAAACAGATGACACACCAGGAATGGATGAGAAACATGGAATGGATGAGAATCGTTGAACCTATAAGAACCGGGGAACGAATCAGACATGGGGAACGGATGAGACTTGGGGAAGGGATATGAGATGGGGAATGGAAGTGACACGGGGAATGGATGAAACACGGGGAATCGATGATACATGGGGAATGAATGAAACACAGGGAACAAATAAGACACGTGGAACGGATGAGTCCCGGGGAATGGATTAGACTCTGGGAATGAAGGAGACATGGGGAATGGATGAGACCGAAGAAACGGATGAGGCACGGGGAACGGATGAAACACAGGGAACGGATGAGACATGGGGAATGGATGAGACCCGGGGAAGGGATGAGACACGCGGAATGGATGAGATAAAACACGGGGAACGGATGAGACACATAGAAGGGATGAGACATGGGGAATGGATGAGACCTCGGGAATGGATGAGACATGGGGAACGAATGAGACACGGGGAACGGATGAGACAGGGGGAATGGATGTAACACAAGGAACATGGGGAATGGATGAGACATGCGGAATGGATGAGGCGAAACACGGGGAATGGATGAGACACACGGAACGGATAAGACACGTGGAATGGATGAGACACGGGAAATGGATGAGACACGGGGAACGGATGAGACGGGGGGAACGGATGTGACACGGGGAACATGGGGAATGGATGAGATACGGGGAATAGATGAGCTACAGGGAATGGATTAGACACGGGAAACGGCTGAGACACGGGGAACGGATGAGACACCGGGAACGGAGAAACCCGGGGAACGGATGAGACACAGGGAACGGATGAGACACGGGGAACGGATGGGATACAAAGAACGGATGGGACACGGGGAATGGATGAAACATGTGGATCGGATGAGGCTCGGGGAACTGATGAGACACGGGAATGGATGAGACATGGGGAATGGATGAGACCCGGGGGAAGAAGTGAGACACGCGGAATGGATGAGATGAAACACGGGGAACAGATGACACACATGGAACGGATGAGACTTGGGGAATGGATGACACCCCGGGAATGGATGAGACATGGGGACGAATGAGACACGGGGAACGGATGAGACAAGGGGAATGGATGTGACACGGGTAACATGGGGAATGGATGAGACACGTGGAATGGATAAGACACGGGGAATGGATGAGACACGGGGAACGGATAAGACACAAGGAATGTATCAGTCGTGGGGATTGTATGAGACACGGAGAATGGATGGGATACAGGGAACGGATGACACACGAGGAACGGATGAGTCCCGGGGAATGGATGAGACCTGGGGAATGGATGAGACACGGGGAACAGATGAGACACGAGGAACGGATGACACGCGATGAGACATGGGGAACGGATGAGTCACGGTAAACAGATGAGACACGGGGAACAGATGTGACCTGGGGAACATGGGGAATGGATGCGACACAGGGAATGGATGAGACACAGGGAATGGATGAGACACGGGGAATGGATAAGACACGGGGAACGGATGAGACATGGGGAATGGATGAGACATGGGAAACGGATGAGACCCGGGGAACGGATGAGACCCAGGGAACGGATGAGACACGGGGAACGGATGAAACACGGGGAACGGATGAGATATGGGGAACGGATGTGATACGGGGAATGGATGAGACCCAGGGAACGGAGGAGACACGGGGAATGGATGAGACACGGGGAATGGATGAGATGCGGGGAAGGGATGAGACACGAGGAATGGATAAGGCACGGTGAATGGATGAGATACGGAGAATGGATGAGACACAAGGAACGGATGAGGGACGGGGAGAGGATGAGATACGAGGAATGGATGAGACACGTGAATCGGATGAGGCACGGGGAACGGATGAGACACGGGGTACGGATGAGACATGGGGAATGGATGAGGCCCGGGGAAGGGATGAGACACACGGAATGGATGAGATGAAACACGAGGAACGAATGAGACACATGGAACGGATGAGACACGGGGAATGGACGAGACCCCGGGAATGGATGAGACATGGGGAACGAATGAGACACGGGGAACGGATGAGACGGGGGGAATGTTGGTGCATATTCATTTGCACGTTATCCTGTCGTCTGTTCGCATCATTTCGTTGCATGTGTTTTGTGTGCTACATTGTTTGTATGGTTTGTTGGGTTTGCATGTCTTTGCATGTTCATATTGTGCTTGTGAAGATGTGCTTGGATTGTGCATGACATCGAGCACATTCCAACGAGCCAGGAATTGTTGGAATCGGAGCACATATGAAGAAGTTACGAAGAAATGTTTGATGGATTTGTTACAACTCATTGGAAGTCCTTGTCAGCTGCTACACCAAAGTTGGAGAGCCCTATAACGAGGAGGGACCAGCATGTGTGGGACTTTTGTCCCCACCCTGCAGCTGCAGCATTTGGGGTTTGGAGGCCAACCTGGCACAGTGTGAATTTTGTCTTGCCAGGCTGGCTGAACCTGAGGATGGGGGAGTCAAGACTTTGACTCTTATCATGTTCTTGACCATGGGCCTCCAGGGTCCTTCCATTTCATCCTTCCCTTCCTACCCCACCTTCCAACTGTGCTTCAATGCCTTTTCCATCATGCCTCTGAACTTGTAAGCTTCAATTATAGTGACTCTGAGGACTGTCAATCTCTCCTAGGGCAGATTACCCCAGTGCGCCAAACGCCATAGCTCACTCGTTAAGCTACGGAATCGAGTGATTCAACTTTCAGGGGAAAGCTGACGCTGCACGCTACAACATATCCGATTTTCAGATCGTTTCACCGATTGGATTTTTGGATATAGCTTTTCGAAGGTCGCGAGTTTTCTGGGCGTCATAACGAAGTGCTGCAGAAATTTCCAAGGAGCCATTGAATCATCTGCTTATAGCCTTCTCTAACCAATAAGGAATGGATGTAACATGGGGAACATGGGGAATGGATGAGACACGCTGAATGGATGGGGTGAAACACGGGGAATGGATGAGACACACGGAACAGATAAGACACGTGGAATGGATGAGACCCCGGTAATGGATGAGACACGGGGAATGGATGAGACACGGGGAACGGATGAGACGGGGGGGACGGATGTGACACGGGGAACATGGGGAATGGATGAGACACGGGGAATAGATGAGACACGGAGAATGGATGAGACACAGGGAATGGATCAGACATGGGAAACGGCTGAGACACGGGGAACGGATGAGACACTGGGAACGGAGAAACCCGGGGAACGGATGAGACACAGGGATTGGATGAGACCCAAGGAACGGATGAGATGCAGGGAACGGATGAGACACGGGGAACGGATGGGACATGGGGAATGGATGGGACACGGGGAATGGATGAGACATGGGGAATGGATGAGACACAGGGAATGGATGAGACACGTGGATCGGATGAGGCACGGGGAACGGATGAGACACGGGGAACGGATGAGACATGGGGAATGGATGAGACCCGGGGAAGGGATGAGACACGCGGAATGGATGAGATGAAACACGGGGAATGGATGAGACTTGGGGAATGGATGAGACCCCGGGAATGGATGAGATATGGGGAACGAATGAGACACGGGGAACGGATGAGACGGGGGGAATGGATGTGACACGAGGAACATGGGGAATGGATGAGACACGCGGAATGGATAAGACACGGGGAGTGGATGAGACATGGGGAACACAAAGAATGTATGAGTCGTGGGAATTGTATGAGACACGGAGAATGGATGAGATATAGGGGACGGATAACACACGAGGAACAGATGAGACACGAGGAACGGATGAGACACGATGAAACATGGGGAACGGATGAGACACGGTAAACGGATGAGACACGGGGAACGGATGTGACATGGGGAATACGATGAATGGATGCAACACAGAGAATGGATGAGACACAGGGAATGGGTGAGACACGGGGAATGGATAAGACACGGGGAATGGATGAGACATGGGAAACGGATGATACCCGGGGAACGGATGAGACATGGGGAATGGATGAGACATGGGAAACGGATGAGACCCGGTTAACGGATGAGACCCATGGAACGGATGAGACACGGGGAACGGATGAGACACGGGGAATGGATGAAACACGGGGAACGGATCAGACACGGGGAACGGATGTGACACGGGGAATGGATGAGACCCAGGGAACGGAGGAGACACGGGGAACGGATGAGACACGGGGAACGGATGAGATACGGGGAACGGATGAGACACGAGGAATGGATGAGGCACGGTGAATGGATGAGATATGGTGAATAGATGAGACACAAGGAACGGATGAGGGACGGGGAAAGGATGAGACACGGGGAATGGATGTGAGAGAGGAAGTTAGACACAGCGGAATAAAGTGGGTGAGCAGAGATAGCATCTTTACAGTTTCAAGACAAGTAAAGGAGGACAAGATTTACGAGGGGTGAAAACTTATCTTAAAGGCAACACTTCATATCAAGATGTTTATTTGAGTAGCAGCTTCCCAGTCTTCCTTACGCCCTCTCAATGCTCCCTTACGCCCTCATCATATTTCCTTAATATCCATGCTCCTCTCCCTATTCTGCCATACTGGTCCATGCTATGCGGCGCTCATCCTTTTCTTGCTGCATCTGACACCAGGATGGATGGAACAGAGACTTGGGCAGAGTCAACACTCCTCCGATGCCTCAATCGCACACTCCACTCCAACTGCAGCCCGCACAGGGGGCACATGGAGGAGAAGGGGAAATGGAGAGTGAGGCAGAGAGAAGCAGAGACATGCAGAGAGGGGCAGGGAGGGGTAGGTAGGGGCAGATAGAGGATGAGAGAGGAAGAGGAGGAAAAGGAGGGAGTGAGGAAGAAATCGGGAAGAGGGTGTATGTAGTTTCTGTGTTCATATAGAGGGCAAGGATGCTGCATGCAGTGGGCAAGGATGCTGCATGCAGTGGGCAAGGATGCTGCATGCAGTGGGAAAGGATGCTTTATGTGTTGGTGCATATTCGTGTGCACGTTATACTGTCATCTGTTCGCATCATTTCGTTTGCATGTGTTCCGTGTGCTACGTTGTTTGTGTGGTTTGTTGGATTTGCATGTGTTTGCATGTTCATCTTGTGCTTGTTCAGATGTGCTTGGATTGTGCACGACATCGAGCACATTCCAACAAGCCAAGAATTGTTGGAATCGGAGCACAGATGAAGAAGTTATGAAGAAACGCTTGATGGATTTGTTACAACTTATTGGAAGTCCTTGGCAGCTGCTACACCAAAGTTGGAGAGTCCTATAACGAGGAGGGATCAGCATGTGTGGGACTTTTGTCCTCACCTTGCAGCTGCAGCATTTGGGGTTTGGAGATCAACCTGGCACAGGGTTTTGTCTTGCCAGGCTGGTTGAACCTGAGGATGGGGAGTCAAGACATTGACTCTTATCATGTTCTTGACCAAGGGCTTCCAGGGTCCTTCCCTTTCATCATTCCCTTCCTTCCCCATCTTCCAAACTATGCTTCAATGTTTCCATCATATCTGTAAACTTGTAAGCTTCAATGATAGTGACTCTGAGGACTGCCAATTTCTAGTAAGGCAGATTACCCCCCAATGCGGCAAGTGACATGGCTCACTCGCTAGACTACGGAATCGAGTGATTCAACTTTCATTGGAAAGCCGATTCTTCACTCTACATCATATCTGATTTTAACATTGTTTCATCAGTTCAACGTTCGGACATAGCATTTCGAAGGTCGCAAGTTTTCTAAGGATCCGTCAAATCATCTGCTAATAGCCTTCTCTCACCAACATTATGCAGTGCACAAGCATGCTGCTGTTAGAAATAGACTGCAAATACCACTTTTGTATTTGTACTTTTATATCCTAGTTTAGGTTATGAATGTTCTAATGGGGTGGGGTGTACTCACAAATCCCAACCTCACCCAATTGTGATCCCCCCAATCTCCAATTACCCAATTGGAGATTCCGGAGATCCCAATGGAGATTCCCTCCAATTCCCCCTTCATCCATTCACTCTCACCTTGCCATGTACTTATAGAGCCTTGGGCTCCTTACCTAATCAATCATTTCAACTCTATTTCTTACATGGTATCAGAGCGACCTATCTGCACACGCGGATCAAGGTCCTAATCTCAATGTGCCCGTGCTACACGCACTTCATCGTCGCGACATTCGTTTCGAGTCGTCGGAATTTCGACGTGCTCCACTCTGCAGTCGCGCCTCTCATCGTCGACCACCTTCGCGCTCGACCTCGTTGAATTTTTCATCTCTGAAGCGTTCACGCTTCTCATCGTCGATTTCCTCCTCGGTTCTCCTTGGTCGAATCTCAATTTCGACCATCTCTTAAAACTCGTTCTCGAGTTTCCCCTCAGACCCCGCCAGAATAGGCGAACTCCCCTCGCGACATCGCCTCCACGAATGTCTCGCGTCAAATCAAGAGCAGGTACACAGGTTGAAGCGGAGCGGAGCTGGTTGCGGAGCTAGTTGCGGAGCTGGTTGCGGAGCTGGTTGCGGAGCTGGTTGCGGAGCTGTGTAGCTGCGGGACAGGGCCTGGGGGTGTGTGGGGGGGTGTGTGGGTCCGGGGTTAGACATAGGCTCAGATTCAGTTTCAAGTCGGCGTTTTAACGAATTTTTGCCGACGCCATTTCCTACTTAGCGGCATTTTGATACAGCCGTCAGAGTGATTTTCAGCAATTCTCGTCGACCAATTTCCAGAAGTGCCGCGCTGCACACCGACAATGGCTTACTCAACCACTTCACTCGCCAACCCGATCCCGCTCCTTCGTCTCGAGCCGGATGGCACATGCTCCAACTACAAGGCTTGGCGCTATGGTGTCGACAAGCACCTCCTCAGTCGCGAGGTGAAGGGGCTCGAGCTCACCGACGTCCTTCTCAACATCGGTGACGGCAAAGAGCCTCCTAAACCCGAGAGGTCCGCCGATCCAGCTAATGCCGCCGCCAAAGCAGTTTATGCTGCTACACTGCTCAAGTACAAGAATTGGGAGAAGGCCGATGGTGCGGTCATTAGTGTCTTCATGGGCACCACTCCTCCCGAACTCGTCGAAACCTACCACAACTACCCGTCTGCCAACGCCATTTGGCTCTACCTCGAGGATCGCTTCCTGAACAAGACTGCAGTGGGAGTTGCTATACTCATCCCCAGCATGTTCTTAGTGCGGCTTGAGGACTCGCCAGGCATGGCGGACTATGTCACCAAGGTGCAGTCCATTCATGGTGAACTCAAACAGTTGGGGATAGTCTTCCCCGAGCAAGCCCCTGCAGCCGCTCTCCTAGTCGGCCTCACTCCGGCATACGAAGTCACACGCAAGATGCTCTTGGGCCTTGCTCCTGCAGACCTCACATTTGCCAAGGTCTCATCCGCACTCCTTTCTGTCGAAAAGGACAACAGCGCTCAAGCCAAGGCCAATGCAATCCGCGCTCCCGTGCCTCAAGCCTATGCCGCTTCGGCGCCATTCCAGCGCAACCGCTTCCCCCCGTGTCCCTATGTCATCAAGCGCGGCCCTCGTGCCGGCCAGGTGTGTGGCGGCACCAACCACGCCCTTGCCTCCTGCTTCAAGAAAAAGGATGACGATTGGTCTGCCGTCAATGGGACC